TAACCTTTTTTATTATCGTATAGGTGATAAACTAAAAATCTTTTAAGAATAATAGCTAAAATAGTTTTTAATAATTACCATTTTTTTTGTAAAATCATCTCCTTTTTTAAAATAATAAATATTCTTTATTCTTTATTTTCTTTTGCAAACTATTACAGATTATTATTAACAAGAAGCATAACAAAAAAAATATGAAATCGTTTATTACAAAAAAAAGGTGACAATAGAATGTAAAAGAGAAATTAATGGTAATGCATTTTTTAGAAAATAATTGGAAAATAAAACTGCAACTGTCAAAGGATTTGATATTTAATTTAAATAAATATGTAACTGAAATAATAATAAAGCAAAATTATTAGTAACTGCATTACATATTATTAAACTTTATCTAGGTAAATCTGTTAAATATTCAAGTTTAGAAAATGATTTTTTGAATAGGTTTTTGAAATAAGAAGAAACTAGAATGCTATTATGCAAAAATGATTATTAATAAAGCCATTACTTTGTTTATAAATCAGGAATTTTTAGCAAATAATTCAGATATTATTACATTTTAATTTTTAAGCAGATAGCTTAAAAGTATTATGGAAAATTATGATCTTATGATTATTATAGAATAATAATTCACAATAATTACCACTAGATTTACTTAAAAAACAAAATGTTTTTTAAGTTATATTTATATAGAAAGATTCAGCATGATTATCTATTAAAATATATTAGAAATATAAATAAAATGCCAATGTGATTAAATTTACTAAGAAATATATCTATAGATCATAAAGATGTAAAAATATTTACAATTTATATGATTAGATACGAATATTAATCTTTTACAGTTGTACTTGTATATATAGCTATAATGGTACCCCAGATTCAATTTGGGATATCCCAAGTTAGATTTGGGACATGATCATCCAAAATCGAAATTCCAGTTTGGGAAGTCCGAAATAGGAATTCCGATTTGGGATATCCCAAGTTTAACTTGGGACATGGTGACGTTTGGGCTACAACAGACTTACGGACTTTCAAATAATAAAATATCTTTACACTTTCAAACCTTCCTTTTGTCTCCACATAGGCTCCGCTTGTGGTAACCAATCTACACAATTGAATCGTGAAATAAAGACATTAGTGGTATATTCCAGGATAAAAGGGATTCTGTAATATCGTATTGCATTGAATACATCGTTCTTTACCGTGGTTTCGGTACAATCCCAGGGTTAACACCGGGTATTTTAAAAATCTTTCGATAGGGTATTTCACATGGGGGGGTACTATGGCCCGTGATATACGGTATTTTAAGATCAAAAGTTAATAAGTATTTCTTTTTTAAAAACTAAATTTAACTGGAATTAATAATTTTAACTTATACAGTAATTTATTTTATATTATCTATTATTTAAATAAATTAATAAAGTTAAGATTTAAAAGTTAATTGATGTAATTCAGATAAATTAAAATTTTATTTTATTTCATTAATAACTTAAAAATATTTTTTTATTAGCATTAGTAAATATTTATTAGTCCGGTAAGCGAAGGACTATATATTTCTAGACATGCATTGACTCAATATGTCCAACATTCCCTCACTCACAAATTGAGTCGAAACGTAATTGGTTACTTTCGTTGTACTTGCTCCGGACTTAGCAACGGTCCTGTTCCCTAGTTTATAAAAATTCTAAGATAATATCATCTATATTTCTCATTTGAGTTCTAAAAGAAAAGAAATATATAATATTAAATCTTAAAAAACCTGCAAATTTCTTAAAATTCAATTTACATGTAGTAATACTTGCAAGATCTAAAATATAAGATAATTACTCAAAAAATCTGTTTCCGACAAATTTAATTTTAATCTGATAATTTCAAACCGTAAAATGCGATATAAATTTTAATTTTGTTGAAACATTAACCAACCTAATTTTATCTTATATATGAATCCAAAGATGTATAGATTTGACTTTCTTCAACGTATGACAATCATTTTTTTTTTAAAGTCAACATGAAATCATCAAAATTTCATGTGTTTGTCCTACCAAAGGTTGCAAGCTTAATTTCTTTCATTTAAATTCCTTTAATAGAACCTTTTTAAAATGCATCACGTAAATTTCTTTTGTGTGATCAGCAGTTGATCATTCATTTTTTTTTAAAAGACAATTTAACAAATGTTGTCTACCAAAAAAAATTTTTTTTTAAAACAAAAAAATAAAAAATTTTAACCTACAATAATGAACCCAGTTATTACGATATTACGAGGCATCTCTTTAGAAAACGATTTAAGAAGATTACTAGAAGAAGAAATCTTTTTTGATACAATCATAAAGTGTTCTGATAATAACACTTTAGGAGCCAATAAAATTATCTTGGCAGTTCGTTCTAATGTATTCTATGACATCATTACCAATCAAATCAATAACCAAACATTTACTAATTTAGAATTTAATAACATTAATTCAACGGCGATGAGAATTGTTTTAGAATATTTATACACGTCAACAATACTTGAAGGGATTTTAGATAATGTTGAAAACCTTATTGAGTTATTTTACGCGGCAAATTATTTCGAATTAACTGCGTTACGAACGAAAATTTGTGACGCCACCAAAGTCCTTATAGAATTCAATGATGAAGGATTGGCCAAAAAACTTTTATCACAATTTGTTGTAAAATTTCCATCTTTGGAAACCCAGAATGAAATGTCTCAATTATTAATCGAATCGGTAGCAAAAATTCATTTAGATCCTTACCTAGAATATGATCCTTTATCATTAATGGGACTGAGATATCTATTATGCAAAACTTTAAGTGCCGAAATACCTTTTGCTACTCATGAGATCGATTTATTTAGATATGTTACAACTAAGGGTGATCCATCAAAGAATGACGACAAGAATTCTCTTTTGTTATCATTAATTCCCTATATCGATTTACGGAGAATTGAACCGGATACAGTTTTAAAGCATATTGAACCATTAAATTTATTTCCACAGGATAGGATTAATGATAGATACCGACTCATGGCACAAGAATATGAAATAAACCTAAGATCTATTCGTGGGATTCCAATATTTAGATGGAAGGGAATGAATATTACAAAGGATGGATTTACTTTAGAAGCTCGTAAGGATTTTGAAAAGTATGCGCACGCGACGACAAATTTGAACATTAAAGGTAAAGGAATATATAAATGGAGTTTTTCAATTGAAACTTTAAATAAGACATGTTATATAGGAATATGTGAAAATGTTCAATTACGTGAAACCGATGATTACTGTGGTATGGTTCTTGGATCCAATGGTTATGTTTATCATGAAAAAACTTCTAAATGGTATAACGCAAAATTTAAAGAAAATGATGTCGTTACCGTTAATTTAAATATGACTGAGAAAACCTGCGAATTTTTAATTAATGGCTCAACTACCGGTGTTATTGCCGAATGGAGAATTCCTCCTGTAGTTTATCCATGTGTCTCGTTAAAAAAAGGCAGTAAATTGCGTATTCTTCAAGATACAGTACATAACCATAATATTATTATGGTTATGTAATCATCTATTATCATGTAATTATTATTTTTTTTTATATATATATATATTCTTAACGTTAATAATCAATTCGAACGAATGTTTAATTATAGCAAACTAATTTGCTATTCATTTTTATTTGCGTGAAGACTATTTTTCACAATTTCAATTTAATAAACACTAAATTCTTTACTCACTCCATACTGTAACTGATCGCTGTAAAGAAATACAAATGCTCTATATCTTGTAGTGTTCCAATTTTTATCAATTTTAAAAAATAAACTACCAACGACTGGATTATCACGCTATTTTTTTTAAAAAAAAAAAAAATTTCAATATTCAATATTCAATATTCAAAGATTTTGTTTTTTTGTTTTATTATAAAGCCAAGGAATTGCTTACCACTTCTGAAAATACGGTATCTCCAAGTTCAAATTCGTCATAAATCTCTATAATTTCTACGATTATTTTATCTAAGGAAGAATATTAAAAATTATAAAAAATTTTGAAATTTAAAAAAGAAGCTAAATTTCACTATTTTATTTCATTTACCATAACTTTTGCATCCGTTGCACCACCAACTAATATTTTGTGTAGAGCCCTTTTTCCACGGGCCCGGTCCTGGTGCTTTTATATTATTTACATTTTTTATAATTTCATATTGGTATATTATGAATTAGAAATAATGCTAAAAGACATAATACCTGGGACATGAATCATAACGACGTCATCTCGTTTCACTATAGGAGACGGAAAGGTGATGACAATTTTCGCGAATAAAACGAAAAAAAGTAATAAATTACACAAAATTCTATTCATCTTGAGAATGTAGTAATAAATAATTCACGTAATATTTCTCTGTATTTATGACTTTCGCACTTAATATAGAAAATACGCATAATTAGATAGATCCTTTAAAGAATAATTGAGGCTTGTTTGATAAATGCAAAATATCTTCAGCCAATATAAGCTTTTCATTGTGTGATTTTAATGTGTCGCAATTTGGCTAAATTCGCAGCTTAAGCCTCAGTAAGCCACACGAAACATTCTTTTTTTATTCCGCAGCAAACATTCGTAACTGCATACTGGCAGGACTTTAAGTTTTTTTTGAAATGCTTACAATATTAGATTTAAAGCTAAGGTTTACATTTTGGAATTTATTAAACCACGTGTAAATATACTGTGTTACCCTGAACGAAGTCCGTCGATCGAAATTCTGCTGTTTGAAATTTTTTAAAAAATAAATTTAAATCATACTTTGCAACTTTTCAACGTTACAACTAATTATATCAGAAAAGAATCAATGTTGATTGATTAGAATATAAACAAAGCATTTGTATGGTTCTTTTATGAAAGCCTCATTTCATCACAACAATTTGTAGCCATTGGGCGGTTACCAGTCTACTCATGAAATCGCAAAGTATAATCATACGGAATCATTCAATTATAAATAGTTACGCACGCTTATCTTTATTAATTAAGCTATCAAATTTAATGAATTACTTTATAAATAACTTTTAATATTTTCTTTTACTACGAATTAGATTCCTTGGTGTAGTTGGTTATCACATCAGCCTAACACGCTGAAGGTCGCCAGTTCGATCCTGGCAGGAATCAACTTTTTGATTAAAATTCACGTTCAAAAGCTTTTAAAGGACTGTCTTGAATTTTGTTGACGTAGCATGATAAATTGATGAAATGATATTTATTAACATAAAAAAATATTTAACCTGCATGCGGGAAGTATAATTCTCTAGATCGCAATTGAGTTATCACGTGATCACTACTTTATTAAAAATTAAAAGTTTAGATTCTTAACCTAAACAACTTATGTAAATAAATTTTTAAAGTTACAGTTGCGGGCTAGGATAAGAGTCTTACTCCCCAGTCTAATTTAAGTACGCCCTCATTTTACGGTCTTTTAAAATTCAAGTCTTACTTTTCTTCAATTTGCCGTCGATCTTTTTTTTTGTGAAATTTTTTTTTTTTTTTTTTTTTTTTTTTTGAAATTAACGCTTAATTTACTGTAAAAGAATATTAATGATTTATTATGGAAACTATATAACCTGTCAGACTTTTGTATATTTTAGCTTATGATGCTAATGGTTACGGTCATGACCGGTCATGACCGTAACCGATATCGGTCGGTCAAAGGTTTCTGACCGACCGGTTGACCAAACATTTTTAATTAGTAATCCAAAATTCTTTGCATTTAATTAACAATCATTTTAGTTATGTAATTTTTTATAAAAATAATTTTTAATTTATTTTTTTAAAAAAGTTATATCATATCTAGTTAGTTTAGCAAATACCATGTTAGTATTATTTAAAGCTTAAATTAAAATTATCGATCAAAAACTTTAAATTATATTATTGTTAAATGGGCCGGTCAACCGGTCAGTATAACCGGTCGGTCAACCAGTCGGTTGGGTCAAAGGCCTCTGACTGACTGTTAACCGTCCGTTAACCGACCATGTCCGACCGTTACTATCCCTCCTATAATCATTATTAATCCAAAACTTTTATTTTATATAATATATGATTTTTACATAAATTTTATGATTTATACGTAATTTATATTTAAATTATCAATTAAAGATATTTTATATATAAAAAATTATTAATTTTTTATTATTTTTGATATAATTCTTTATATATATGTTTTGGAATTCTCCTATGGGATTTATATTTTTTTACTGCATATTCAACAAGTTTACTTGTTATTCCAGTGATGAGATTTTAGACACATTTTTAATTTTAGACAAGTTTTAGACATGAAATTATCCAAAACCTGTCCAAACTATCCAAAATTGTCCAATTTTCCAACTCTGTGTTATTCTATGCCTATATATATATATAATACTATAATTTTCTTAAAAGTTGACAAAAACTGATCTTTAATTTTGTGTCAAATGTTTCATAATTGTTATTAAATTAATAGAAGCTAATGCTTTTAGAACTATATTTTGTAATCCATTCATGAATAATTAGAATTTTTCCTTGCAAATCATTTAACAGCTTTCCAATATCATTTAATAAAGAATGAAATTTAGAAAGAAAAATACAAATATGACCTATATCTTTAATATTTCAGCTAAAAGCTCCTTTTTGTGCTAAAAAAATCTGGTTAAAATGAAATAATTTTACATTTATAACAATCTATACAATTAATATCTTCTACTCTTTTACAACATAATCAACATTTACCCACTATATTTTCTTTCCATAATACTAAAATTTAATTAACTCCTTTTGGCTGACTATTATCAAAATTTATTGTTTAAAGTTTATTATTAGGTTCTTACTTCGTATCTTTTATTCTTAAAACATTTTTATTACCTGAACAAATATTCATTTTACTTAATACAAAAGCATCTGGTATAAATGCTGCATGATTTAAACTGTTATCAAATATAGAAACTCAACATATTTCAAAATTTTTATATCAAAAATTAAAATTGCTTTTAATTTAACTTCTTCTATTAAATTTTGATTTGTCTAATAATCTTTATTTTTTCTTAATTTTAAATATAAACATGCTTTTTCTGAAACTGTTGGATTTAAAGTAATTTCTTCTGATATTAAATAAAGAGAATCCTTTAGCTTCAATTAAAAATTTGCTAATCTTATTGATTTTTTATTTCCATTTATTTAAATAATTGCAATTGTTCATTTTGAATCCAAATTCCTCATTTTTTATCATGAAATAAAATATACATTCATATTGAATAACTAAATTCACAATTATTTTTCTTTTAATTGTAATAAAATTCAATACATATTTTCTCCTTCATAAATTACTATTAAAGTTTCATATTTTGACATTTGTTCAAGAAATGATTTTTAATATTGAATTACCTCATCATATTCATAATCGTTAAAATAAATTTCTTGTTTATATTTTTGATAATAATAATCCAAAACATTAAGCTAATATTATGCAGTTATAATAAAAATATTATTTTTGTAATTTCAAAATTAGGAATTAATATTTTTTCAATAAAAATTTTAAATATATATAGAGTTACATTACCATTTTGACTTCTAATCCATTGATATTTTTCTGTAACATCTTCGTCATTTATTAATCAAATGGTTTTTTGATACTGACCTTATAAAGAAATTGAAAGTGTATTGTATTTTAATTAATATTTAGCAGTTATTCTAATATTTCAAATTTTTGAAGAACCATAAGTTAAATATTTTCATTTGCTACTATTTTTCCAATTCTATTAATTTTTGTGTTTATTAAATATTTGTAAATTACACATATTTAATAATTAATATTAGTTTGTATTTAAATTTAAACTTCATTTTAATCTTCTAGTTATTGGTTAATCTCTGTTAATAGTTTTGATAATTGATCTTATTCATTAATAATATCTTATTATTTTTATATCCCTTTACTAATCTTTTATAATCTTATTATCTAATATTTATTACTTTCATTTAGCATAATTCTTTTACTATCTTTAAATATTTTTCTTTTATAAATTTGCTTATTATCTTGCATATTTAACTTACTAATATCTGACTCTATAATTGTAAATGATTTATTTTTATTATAGATATGCTACTTTTCAATATATCTTGCTTTATTTAAGTGTGACATTGTAGTATGTAATACTAGTAGTAAATAAAATTGAAGCAAAAAAAAAGTTAAAATTACAAAAATATATTTTTTTTTGAATTAAATGGAATTTGTGCTTCATTTTTAGAATTAAATGAAATTGATACCTCATTTCTTGGAATTAAATGGAATTATATTACAGAACAGGTTTTTGGTAAAAAAAAAATCTTTAAATATTTTGCATTCATAATCATACAAATTTGTATAAATTAAAATTCTTCTTGAAAGTATATTAATCTTTAGTTTTAGAAAGTAATTTTTCTTTTTAAAAACTTTTAACAACTTGTTTCTAACCTTTATAATCTCATAAAGATACTTTAACAAATGTAGGGCTATATATAAAATGATATTCTTTATTTCCGATAAAGAATATAATTAGTATAAAAAATTATTGTAAATTCAGAATTATTTGAGAAATTCATATGATTTATATTAGGATTTCATAGGATTTCACAGAAAAGATATCTAATAATTTAACTTTATTAATAAAAATGCCAATTTTTAAAGTATTATAGTTTAAAATATTAATAATAAAATAAAGTTTAAAATATAAATATAAAGATTTATAATTTATCTATTATAATAATAGTATTATTTGATATTATTAAAAAAGTTATAAAGTCTGAAAGTCAACTAATATTTTTTGATAATTATAAATGAGTTGTATCATATTCTAATCTGATTACTAATAAAAAAACATTAGCAAACTTATTTAAATAGAATTGCTTACCCTTATTACAATCTATATACCTAATACAATATTTATTTTATCATTATATTTTGATTAGGCTCTTTTAAATAATAAAAAATATATA